GTGTGTGTGTGTGTGTGTGTGTGTGTGTGTGTGTGTGTGTGTGTGTGATGATTATGTGCCATGGTCCATGTGTGGAGGCAAGAATACAACTTGGAGAAGTTGGTTCTCTCCTTCTACTATGTTGCTCCCAATAATCAAACTCAGGTTGTCAGGTTTGGCAGCAAGAGCCTTTATCTGCTGAGCCATCTCACTAGCCCCAGTGATTTTCAGTAGGTGATATTGTCCCTTACTTTGGTCCACAGCGGGGTACATGAGGATGTCTATGGCACAGACTTCTTGCTTCTCAGCTCTACTGAATCCTTTTGAGGATAGAGCCCAGTTCTTGGAGAGGTTCCTTGCCATGCCCACATTGCCAGCAGCCTCCTGTCCAGCTGAGAGCATGCTGCTCTGAGAGAGTCCTGCACCCCAATCTCTGGCTGGAAGCCCCATGAAAAACTGCAAAGTCACCTGGAGCTGTTGTTCCTTGAACATGTCAGGGTGGGGTGCATTGAGAATGTCATCTGCCAGCTGGGCCTGGCTGTCAATGTTGACAGGAGTGGTGGCTTTGCTGCACAGGAATTTACTGAAAATCTCCCGGGCCCTGTAAGAGAGCTGACAGGTAGAAAGGTCTGAGCAGAGCTGTGAGCATATACCTACTGGACACGCATTTCCCGCCTGTGTCACTGTGGCATGCCTAAGGCTGCCACTGCTTTGGGGCTGGAGAGCTGATTCACAAGCCCAGTCTGTGTTCTGACTTACAATGGTAAATATTTAAGAACGAGCCAGGAAGAAACTCCTAAACTGGCTCCTCTGAAAGTTTCTAAATGGCTTCTTTGTGAGGGCCTCAAAAACTGAGGTGGGCTACCAGCGAGAGGCTTCAGAGTAGGATCGGCCAGCAAGTGAGAACCACAAATGTGCACCACAAGTGAGAACAGGCACGTACAGTGCTCGGAGCACAAGAAACAAGCATGAGGCCACTCTGTGAGGACAAATGTTACCTTAGAGGAAACACCACAGGACATGGCCAGGGTGGTCCTGCACCAGCTAAAGAGGAGCTGTTAAGCCAGCGGGTAGAGGGTGCACTTTGCCTGAGTGCTTCTCCAAGTCCCCTCAAGCACTGTTCCCTCCTCCCCATCCCAGCATCAAGTGCCACCTCTGCCAGGCTCTGTGGCAAGACATTTATGCAGACTATGTTTAGGCAGAATTAAATGTCACACACTTAAGTTTTTATTCTGGAGCAGAAATGTCATTTTTTTTCTTACAGTCATGTAAGAAGCATCCCTCGCCAATTGCTCAAGCGACACTTGATGTAGCTGTGTGCCACCTGACCCTCATTCGGCCCCCTGCTCTGAGGAGCAATCTACCTCTTTTTTGTCGTGTGCAGGAACGTGACTGAAGCATTCACAGGCCTGCCAGAATAAAATGTTTTCCTCACTGAATTCCTTCCGTAGAAAATCCTGAGGGAACACAGGAAGGAAAGCAGGTGTAACTCCACAATCCCTCCATGCACCTGAGGCCTCATCCCCTTATCCCGGCCCTCTCTGTCTATAACACAGCTGAACAGACACTTCTCAAGAGGGCCTTGAGAGCAAGCATAAAGGCTGTGCAACACGTTTGAGGGGTGCCATCTGCCTCACAGATTTTTTTTCTCAAGGGCTGGTCATTTTTTTTTAAAGAAATGAATTTTTAGTTCTAGTGAGGATACAAAATATGACATTACATCATTCTGACACTGTCACACACATGTGGCTCGTATTCATCCCATTACTCTCGTGTTACCCCACCCCCGTTCCAGCTGTACTTGTCAGCGTGCATTTCCAAGAATTTTGAAGAAGCTCCAGCTAGGATGGTGACATACAGCTGTAATCCTAGCACCCAGAAGGATGAGGCAGGAGGATTATGAGTTCCAAGCCAGTCTGAGTAACACAGTGAAACCCTGTCTCAAAACAAACCAATACCCAAAGCTAAGAAACTTGGATGTTCCTTGCTGCTCAGACATCCCAGAGAGGGGGAGGAAAGAGGACCCTCAGGAAACTCTGGGGCAGGAAGCAGGCCAGGAAGGGAAGACTGAGAGTCCCTATAAATGCACACCTTACTCTGAGCCTTGTGCTTGGCACAGGAGCTGGGTGATCACACCCCTACAAGGTGATGCACAGTCCTTGAGGTCTGGTTCAAGCACCCTGTCACAAAGTGCTGGCACCCCACAGCAGTCCCTCTTACTCACAGAGAAGTAGCGAACGCCAATGGGATCCTGCAGCAGACGCTCGAAGGACACTGCCCAGCTTGCAACTCTCCTCTCACGCAGGCGCCGGCAGCTCTGCACGCTGGGGAGACTGGCATTGCTGCTCAGGCTGTTGTTGCTGATGCAGTCCTTCAGGTCAGCTCCCGTCAACTCTGCGGGGTCATCACAGACATACCTGCACCCCTTGCCTCTCCATGCCTGTCCCACATGAGGCCACAGGCACCTGCACCCAGCTCCACTTTCCACACTTGTTCAGACAGCAACATGCACTGCACCTGAAATCTTGCCAAGGCTTTCTAGACATCAGACAGAGCAGTGAAAAGAACACATCTCAGCCTTACAGGGCCACACGACCCCCCCACACACACACACAGAGAGAGAGAGACTGACTTAAATAATAAGCTCTGACTATGAAGATGAACCAAAGAAGCGATTGCCTCAGGTGCACGTACATGCAGAGCAGAAAGAGCAATGTAGGGCAAACAGCAAGGAAGGCATTTTACAAGTGCACCCCAAAGCAAAAGACCCTGAGTGAAGTCCGAGGAGGGACTGCAGTTGGCCCCATCACCCTCCCGATGTTGTCTACTGCAATTTGGAATCCATAGCTCATGGCTTGTGCACTTTTCTTCGTGCAAGTCACTTCTCAGTGGAAACATTAAGGTATGACATCCCAAATGAGTATTTAACCACATACCATCTGGCTGCTCATTCACTGGTAATCCCCATGGAGGAACACATTACAACTCAATGAAGAGAAGGAGAGGTGTCTAGGAAGAACCCATCTGTCACCCTTGTCCACTTGATGAAGCAGCCCAGGGAGGAGAGGAGGGCCATAGGCCAGTGTAAGCGGACGGAACTCTAGAGTTGTTACACATGGTGCTCTGGTGAGCAGGGTACATGGAGCATCCCTAGATGAGGATACCCCAGGTCAGAGGCAAGGCCAGCCCACTTTGCTGGGCTGTGTTGTCAGGAGGCCCCAGGTCTTGCAGCAGAGCCCAGTGTGGACACTACAAATCTAGAGGAAAGTGACCCTGAGGTCTAGAAGCCAGGGCAGGGATGTGACCTCAGAGTACACCTTCCTTAGATCACCACGGCACCCATATTCAATGTTGGGCAGGAGCATTCAAAACCAGCCGGCATTTAGGTTAAAAGAGACAAGGCTAAGCCACAGGAGCCACTGTGGACACACTACAGATATCTGTGTCAGAAGAAACGATATCGTGAGATCAGAACTTGTATAGGCCTAATCTTTGGATGTGCCCGCCCCCCTACACACACACTGTTCATTAGCCATGTTCTCCTAAGGGTCAGGGGGAAGGGCTTGGGCCAGCACTCATCACAGGAGCTCTGACCTGTTTTCCGGAACACTGTCGCTCACACTGCTGGGAACTGGAGACTGTGCAGGCCACCACCTCACTAGGTAACTCAGCCACCCCAAACACTCCACTCTCTGCGGGGCTGCTCTCTGAAGCTCATCTGTGTCCAGTGACCAGAGAAGATACTGATTTTCTTAGAATGCACATATAAATCCAAAACAATTCCGGACAGGTTTCCCAAAAGCAACTACACAAGCTGAGTGCGACAGTCTCAGCAGAAAACCAAGCAGCAAGTGCAGGAAAAGGCAGGATGGCTCCACCTGGTCCTACTGTATCCCTCACCCATCCCCAGTGCACACTTCACCCATCCCCACTGTATACACCCCAACCCCCACTGCATACACCCCAATCCCCCACTGCATACACCCCAACCCCCACTGTATATACCCCAATCCCCACTGTATACACCCCAACCCCCACTGTATACACCCCAACCCCCACTGTATACACCCCAATCCCCACTGTATACACCCTAACCCCCACTGTATACACCCTAATCTCCACTGTATACACCTTAATCCCCACTGCATACCCAATTCATACTGTTTAAAACCCCACTGTCTACCATGCCCATCCCTCCTGCACACCTCACCCATCCCCACTGTATGCCATGCCCACTCCCACCGTACACTTTGCCCATCCCTAATGCATACCTCACACATCCCCAAAACACGCCAGCCAGGCCCATTCCCACTGTACATCATTTGCCACAGCACCACACAGGCAGGAAGATGTTCTGGAACAAAACCAGATGGAGAAGCAGAAGGCAAAGTCCAGGAGCAGATGGGGACAAATACAGTGGAGATGGGGACTGAACCACATCTGAACAAAAACCAAGCTGGGCTCTTGCTATCCAGAGCACATTAACGCTTACCTCATAGGGCCCAGTGATTCAGATGTGAAACGAAACTGGAGAAAAACGGGGAAACCTGACTGAGGAGAGGCCTGGAAGGAAGCTCCCATGACAGGAGCACAGCAGCATCTGAACCCCATGTAAAATGGCCAGGTAAGAGGCTGAGGGTAACACAACACACACACACACAGAAACTTGCTGTGGAACACTCTGGCCAAACCAAGACACCCACACGGACAGATGAGCCAGGAGAACACAGAAGGAAGCATGACAAGTGCCAGGCTCCTAGGCACATGGGCATGGCTTCTCCTCTTCTGAAACCTGCTGAAGGCTAGTTCAAGCTCCATACCGCTCTGAAGTGGCTCAAGTCATGGGCTTTGCCCAGGCAGACAATGAAGGCTTGTATATCAAAGAAGGTGCTCAGCACCTCTAGGTGCATAGGATATCAGAGGTGGAGTGACCTATGCCACCCCAGAGACAGAACCAATGCTGGCACCCTGCACGTGGGGCACTGTGCCTCATGAACAAGCCAACCTGCAATCCATGCTCCAAGCTCTGGCCCAAGGGAACATACTACCTATTTTTAAAATAAAGATTGTGTGAGGATTAGTGGGGGCCAGGCTCTGCAGTGCCCCTGGGCACCACCCCAGGAAGGCCAGGTGTAAGGACAGAACTCACACTCTGCTCAGTACAGGCTTCTGGTAGCCCAGGCTCCCCATGGAAAGTGAGGCTGCTGAGGTTGCACCTCACTGCATCTTCTGTTGATGAGGTGACGATCCTCATCAACACTAAGCACCACGCTTAGCATAGTGAACACCACAACTTGTCCCCTCCAGCTTCTCCCCCTGAGGCAACGAAGTCTGAACTAAGAACTGAGGAAGGAAAGGAAGCTAACTCGGGGAACATGGAAGAGTCTGCCACACCAGGGTGTGCACATGCAAAGGCCGAGTGGTGGAAGAAATGCAGCACACAACTGTGACTCAACTGAGCAGCAGGAATGCTGGCAGACCACACAGGCTCCTCAGCAATGTGGCCTTCACCCTAGACCAGGGACTGGCAAGGTCCTCTGTTCTCCTCACAGTGGAGGGTGGCCTGGAGGACAGGAAGGCAGAGGAAGAAAGGCAGGACTGAGCCACCAAGTTACCTATAGACCATGTGTCCCTACAAGGGTGATGAGGCTTGTGCTCATGAATTACAGGTGCTTGTCATCCCCGACAAGCTTACAATGAGAAATACCCACTTTCTCTGTGGCCAAGGCACCCAAGTGCTGGAGGAAAGGTGGCTCGGCCCTCCACACACGCCTGCAGACCTCCAATCTGTTCATCTGTAGCCTGTCCCTGCCTGGCCCACTCCCTCAAACACCTGGGTTCCTGTGTGCCCACCTTAACTCCAAGCCCAGTGGAGTCACTGGTCCCTAGTGCTGCAGCAGGAAGTGCTGGGCTTGTGGTGGGAGTGCACGTGCACTGACTGAGTCAGCAAGTGAAAGATGACCAGAAGACTCAAGTCAACACTGGCACTGAACTCTAACCAAGAAGGAATCGTAGCAAATGACTGCTATGCTGAACTTCATTGTGTCACTGAGTGTCTCACACTGTACTGTCTCCCAGGATTCCTGGCTATGGGTCAGATTTGCCCCTGGGGTCTCTCAGACATGGATGCTGGGCACAGAGGAAGGTGGTATAACACCTAAGCAGGAACAGCTCAAGTGGCAATCACAACAGCAGAGAGTTGACAGCACAGGAGAGGAGGGGAACCAGGGCCCATCTTCTGGTGGATAGGCTAGAGACCCACTCAGGTCTCCTTAGTGCCTCCTTAGTGAGGGGACAATTTCATGGTTGCAACAAACCACGTCCTTTAGGACAAGAGGAAGTGTCGGGTGCTCTGATAACGCCTCCCTGAGGCTGTGGGACCGTGGACTTGTCCCGGAGTCCAGCACAGCTCAGGGACCTAGACAAAGACAGCACGAACACTGAGATGACACCTAGCCACAGTGCGCTGCGACAGGTCACACAGTATTCTGTAAAACAGAGCTCCTGGTGGAGATTTCCGACCCGCTGCAATGCGGGAAGGAGGCTTGCCAAGCAGAGGGGTAAAGGCAGAGTCCTCACAGAGCCGTGGCACAGTTGTTTCTTTAGGTTGAATCTTAGCACTTCTGACAGGCTATACATGCAGGAACTTCCCTCCTCTCTGTCATCCATTCCTGAGTTCAGAGCCCACACCATGTTCCAGCATTGCTAGCCACATAGAGAACAATGCACCTCGGGGTAAGGCTGACCTGGGACAGCAGGCACCATCTGGTTGCCATGAAATTCCTTGTAAACATCTCTATTCCTATCTCAAGTTCAAGACCAGGTCAGGAGGCTGATACATGTCAGGTCTGAGACTTGCTGTCCTGTTGGGAGCTGCCTGCTTGGTCCTCTAATGTTAATCATTTGGGTAAAATACGGGCTGAGCTGAAGAAGACACGGCATGGTGGCCTCAGTAGATGTGTTCTAGGTGTTTGTATTGCTGCGGGTTTTCTTCTCTCAGTCAAATGCTGTCCTGGTGAGAGTGTGTCTCAAGTCTGTGGCAGGTCTGCTGAGACCGGGAACAGCTGCCAGTACAGCTGCAGAGATTGCTTAAGAGATGTGGGCTGTAGGTTACACATTTCAGTAATTCCTTGAGTCTGCCGGTGTGCAGTTGCTCCTGCGACACACAGCCTCAGCCCGCTCTCAGCTCACCGCATCGCTCACCCGGACCATAACCCTAAGTGTTCCAAATTCTCAAGTCTCAACTCTAAGCCATGTGACAGCCCACCCCAGCCTAACACCCTCCCCACACAGCAAACACACCTGAGGACTGCACAGGTCAGCCCTCCCTGGCGCTCAAGACAAGCTGACAGGCAGATGTGGGACTTTACCTGGGTAGAGCTGGTAAGAGCCAC